TTATCATGCCACTTGACTTGAGAGGACAGCATCGGCGATGACATATGGTGGGTAATGGAGTTCAAATGTAAACGGCAACATACTGTCTAGCCGAATAGTGAAGAAGCAGAAAACACTTTCGAATAGCCTTATATAGGGCCCGTGTCTATCGCGTTAGCCAGTTGCCAGTGGGAATTTGCATGGGCCAAAGGAGTGCTCATAGGCCTAGCTGTTCAGCATTCCACCGAAATTCTTGCAAGCTTCCATTTCTTGGATGTAGTACAGCCTCTACAATCGCCTACCGGATCGCCTGACACATTCGAAAGATCACAGCCTTGGTTTGATCGTCGAACGTGTCCTCAGAGGATTATTCCGCGGTGAACTGCTAGATAGATTCTCCTCCCCTTTCGCTCTTACAGCAGGGAGCGGGGGAGCTGTCTAGAAGTTCGTCGCGAAATAATCCTCCGAGGACACGTTCCCTTAAGCGCTTCCGAGTAGCGGAGTGGCACATTATGTCCTCCTATGAGCACACCCACACAAGGCGTAATGGGCCCCTCCGCCACTCGGAAGTGCATGGTAAAAACGCCAGTGACTTGTAGTCCATCTGACCGCACTTTTTTTGATTAGTTTCCCAATAATGTACAGATACCAGTTTGACCAACACGCTCTCATGTGCACCACACAGTTGACAGCTGTTAAATTTTCGAAAAGTAAGCTACTGATCGTGGTAATTCGTCATTTTGATGCGTGAAATGCCCATGCTGTGTTCTCTGCTTACTCCTAAAGTTTGCATTGTTAGTCAAATCAGCTACTCGCTGTCTAGAAATTACCTGAATCCCGTAAAATTTTATGTGGTGTTTCCACATCAGTTACCATTTATCTTTTCAACGGTGATTTTTCAGGGCCTTTCGAAAGATGTGGAGGATCGACAGAAGCTCATGTACATTCCTCCTCATGGTGCAATCGCCTCATTACATGATAAAAGCATGGGTGGAACGGCGTCTCTGTATACATGAGCACTTGCACAAGGAGAATGCCGCTTCTCAACAGTGAAAGTTGAACAAGTGCAAGCGCTGTTCGCCTTAACGGGAAGGGTTGGGCATCTTAGTACCTTCCATTGATTGTACAGCATCAGAATGGGAGAAATGGCGGTGTCAGACCCCCCCCCAACACCCAGTTTCTTCCTCCAGCACGACCCCTTCCCCAATCCTACCTTCCGCCTTCTCTATATTTTCCCGGCTTCCTACCACCTTTTTCCTATTTCCGAAAATTCTCCGGTGTTCCTCAAAAAACGGCGTCGAGTGGGGGAGGGGAAGGTCGTCACCAAACAACTACTAATTTCGACTATGGAAATAGTTGTTGCATAGAACTTTGAGGTGACACCTGAAGGGGAGGGGCAGGGAGGCGTGGGTAGTATATAACACATGAGAGAGGAAAAACCGCGAGAATCACTCTTCCAAAAAAAATTCATTTATGCAGTTCGAAGAACTTTCCGTCATAACCAAATACGAGCCTCCTGGTGGGATCCTCTCTACGATAGCGTGGAAATCGTAAGTTCCGATGAAGCTATGAAATCTATGGAATGGCACTCAGCAAAGCTTGTGTCGGCCAATTGGCGAAAGACTGTGTTTGCAAAGATTATACGG